TTGGAGTGCTAAAATGGAAGTAAAGTGTATGGAATATGGAATAATCACTTGAGAGGGCTTCCATATGCTTAAATATTGGGTCTTCAACGGCCATTTTTGGACAAGGAAGCAAGCTCCTTAATGGGGTTTGGAGCTTCTCTCGAATGATTGTGATGACCGTTGCCTGTTTTAATCAGTGCCAGACGAAAACCGGGCGGCATTCGAAAAAGCCGGGCGGCTTTTGCGCGTTTAAAATAGTCTGCCTTCGCTCCAGGGCCCGAAAACCGGCCGCCATTTACAAAAGCCGGGCGGCTTTTGTAATTAAATTCTGAACAATTCCTTCGGCGACCAAAAGTCGGCCGGTGTTCATGAAAGCCGGGCGGCTTTCGTCCTTTCTTGCTCCGGATCAGATTTTCCAGCTTTGGATGCGAAAATAAGCTTGGGGACCAAAGGCCGGCCGCCTTTGGCATAAACCGGGCGGCTTTCGTCTGTCTTGGGTTTTTTTTGTGATCTTTATTTGTTCCTCGGGATGCGTTTGGTTGACCTTTTTCCGTCGGTTTCTTCGTGTGTATTCTACCATCCTTGCATTTGATCCATTTGTTGATTTAAAGAACTTCTAGCAAAACGAGGCATATGTGTGAAGATTTTATTCTTTTTTAAACATAAAAGCGTTTTAAGATGAATATATAAAATACGTTAATAAAACGCTTATCAGTACCCTATCATAAGCCTTTTCTATGTCAATGAACACCAAATGCAGATCCTTGTGAGCGCTTTATGCTTCTCCATAAGTTGCCGAAGAAGGTGAATAGCCTCATTTGTTGAGCGACCAGACATAAAACCGAATTGATTCTCTGAAATCTTCACAGTTCTTCAAAGTCTTTGCTCAATCACTCACTCTCAAAGTTTCATGGTTTGACTCCTAAGCTTAATCCCTCGATAGTTGGCACAATCTTGTACATCACCTTTATTCTTGAATAAGGGGATAAGAGTATTCTTCCTCCAACTCGTTGTCATCTTGTTGTTTCTCCAAATCATGTTGAAGAAACTTGTTAACCACTCGATGCCTCTCTCTCCCAAACTTCTTCAAGCCTCGATCGTTATGCCATCTGGACCCACTGCTTTCTTCCGCCCCATCTTCTTCAGAGCCTCTTTAACTTCCGTTGTTTGGATCCTTCTCACAAAATCACGATTTACCATACAATCTGGTAAATCGTGAAGTAAATACACCATGCTTCAATTAATTTATGTTGAACTATTAACTTCTACAATCAAGATCTCTACATCTTACCATATTTAGGTTTTAAAAATGGATAATTTATTATGAAGTGTTTCATTCTGTAAATTAAAAGAACATCTTCAATGCTACAATGTGCACGATGCGCATGTCGAATGATAGAGATAGACACATATAAAATGGAAAGAAATGTGTATGATTAATTTTATTGTGTCTATTTCTCACATGCCAAAAATGAAGAGAAATGGTAAATTGCATAGAAAATGGCAACTTTCTTCAGAATGGAAGGTTTCCTTTTTTATTATGAAACGTGGATGCATTTTGTGCAATTTAGAGATCTCCAACTTACCTTTTTTATTATTAAAAAATGGAAGGTCAATCATGAAGCAATTTATTTCTTGTTTCTTCATAATTAATCATTCAAAACTGGAAGTTATTTACTTGGACGGTTAGTTAAATGAAAGGTGGTGTAAAACTAATGATTGCACATTCAAACTTGCCTAAATAAAAAAATGCATGTTACTGCTACAGTACATCAAATGACTCATATACCCCCTTTTTTATTCGTTGACCGCTTAGAAGTTGTTTTCATTTTTTATTCCATGCGTGTGAGTGCGACAGTTTAACGATGCAACCCATACGGAGAGCTGTCCGATTTTTCTAATTCAACGGATGGTATTGGTTTGTAGGTTTGCACCGGAAGCATGGTTTGCATGTCATGAAAGTGAATTCTCTCTCAATTGACCATAAAAGTGAGGCATAACATTGAAATCGTTACTCCTCAATTCATAATCTCTTGTCGTCTCACTTAGCACAATGTAAGACAGAAGGACTGCAACAACTGATCTTTTAAATGTCATTTTTTCAATAATTTATTTAATTGACTTCCACATAAAATTTTAAACTAAAGTTTTGTGTGAGTGTTTTATACTTCGTGAAAGGTATACTTAAATAATTTAATCAAAAAATTCAAATCGGATGTCCCTTAAACGGGTTTGGCCGGATGACAGTTCACATCTATCCAGACTAACCAGATCTCTACTCTATATTATATAGGTGAAAGTTCATATAGAAACTCATTTTAACATAGAAACTCTTTTATTGTGGAAACTATCTAGCTCACCCATCAAATAAAAAAAAATAAACCGGTGGTTTACGGCCTATTTGGATTGAGTGTTGGGGAGGGTTAGTAATGGAAGTTTTAATAAGTGTTGATACTAACACTTGTTTGGGAGAAAAATTAAGAGGTGCTAAGAAGTGTTAGTAAAGGTTATTAGAAACTGTTAATAATAACCTTCTGAACACCTCAATTGTCCATTTTTTAAGACCCCGATTTGGATGTTTTGAGGTGTTGAACAATTATTACCCTTTTCATTTACCCTAAAAACATAAAATGTTTCGAAGGTCTCACTTCGAATCTCTTTCCCATAGGTATGATGGTCTGCCCTTTTCATCTCTTCTCCTTACTCGTTTCTTTTGTCTCGCGGTAAAATTATTAACACTTCCATTATTAACACTTCATTCATTTGACTCTCCCAAACAAACACTTACACTTCCCTTCCATTTCGGGCCTTTACTAACACTTCCGTTACTAACACTTCATTCATTTGTTATATGTGTTGAATGTAAACATCGATGTTTTAATTTGTTTCACTTTTTATATCCTTTGAAAGTTTATTTCTTAAAGTCGTAAATAATAATCAATGAGCTTTACACAGAGTTACAGATTAGTAAATTTGATTTAGTATAGTTTAGATTTTGGCTTCAGTATAGTTTAGATCTTGGCTTCAGATATATACGATCGTGTTTACTGTAGTATGTATAAGCAAACAAGTAGATGGTAGTGCTCCCTATATCAACCTATCTCCTCTCATTGATCAGTATTCAGTAGAGTACTGTAAGACTTAGATCTCTTTCCGATAACAAAGATAAGATATTGATTTGTTCAGTTTATTAACAAAACTTATTAATTCTTGATAGATTGTGAGGCTAGTGAATCACATGGAAAAATGGGAGATCAATATCAAATATGGAAGTCAAATCTCTCATCAAAGAATGGAATCCAGAAGTGACTTCTTTTAAAAGGTAGTCTTTTGTATGGTTATTTGAGAAGTTTTTGGAAGCAATGGGGGGATAGTCCTACTTGTTTAATCACCTGGTCAAGATCCTACAAAAGGTTGCAATACCACAAGTTTTTCACACACAACTCACAGATTGTGTGTTCGACATATAATGAGAAAACTTTCACAAAAGGTAGGGGTGTCATTGTGTAGCGATGCAATTTTTAACGCCAAATTTAAGTCATGTATGTACAACTTAGAAACAGAGGAAGATTTTGAATCTAAATGGAGTTATATTATTGTCTAGTTCAACTTAGAAAATAATTATTGGTTGTCACACCTATACGAGATCACGAGAATGTGGATCTCACATTTTTTAAAGATTTGATTTTAGGAACTTTGTTAAAGGCAATTCCGAGGTCAGATAACGAGAATAGCTTTTTAGCAATTCACAATTCCACATCTTAGTTTAGTGGAATTCTGGATGCGGTTTGAGGGTGCAATAGAAATGCAACGAGATCGTCACTCGCTATCTGATCACCAAACACTTTCTTCGATGACTCAATGAAAGATGCATAGCAACTTAGAGAAGCATGTTGGCATTTTATTTTACAAGCTTATGTTTATCTTAAAATTTGTGCGACTTTTTTTGTCAATTATGTTAACTTTAGCATGGCGTTTCTCGTGGAGCTACAATTTACACATATGCTAACTTTTACAAGTTCAAGATGAATTATGGCATTCATGTATCAATGTATGGATTATTAAGTTTATGCGAGAAAAGAGGTGGATGAAGGGGTATTAATTACTATTGCAAACGTAAGCCATAAGAGTAAGTAGAGAGACGTTGTTTATACTCATTTAAATCACTTTGCACATTGTTCATGTAAGATGTTTGAAGGTGGAGGAATTATTTGTGATCACATTCTATGTCTACAATCTCTACCACACAATTTTTACTTTAATAATTATTGTGCTAGTCAAATTTGATAAAGTTTTAAGGAATCGAGACAATATGAACAAAGCCACAAACATCACATTAAAAAAATTCTTACATATCACTTTAATTATTAATTAAATATACACGACTTCAGAATATATATCCCTATAATACTTTCTAATAATACTCCATTCCACAACATTTTGCAACTTATATTTTGGGAACCCAATATGTTCCTGTTTAGCTCTTTTGTAATGTTCGTATTTGGGTAATTTCTTAAGTATTTTTTATGATTGGCTAAAGGGTCAAATAGGCCCTTGAACTAACTTAAAGTGTTCAATTAGCCCCTTATATAGGAGGTTCAGGCCGGCCATCGCCAATTGGGAAGGTTCCCGGTTGAATTTTTTGATGAATATTTTTGAGAATCTTCTTCATTAATTCTAGTTTATGCATATCAAATTTCAGCTAAAAATTAATTCGGGAAGGCAGTCAAATGATTTTCTGAAATGTACTGCGTTGTTTAAGTGCGCAGTTATCTTCAAAAAATCATTTGACTGTTTTCCCGGTTGAACTTTTAGCTACAATTTGGTATGAAGAAACTAGACTTAATGAAGAAGATGCTCAAAAACTTTCATCAAAAAAATCCACCGGGAACCGCCCCAATTGGCGACGGCCGGGCAGAACCTCCTATATAAGGGGCTAATTGAACACTTTAAGTTAGTTCAAGGGCCTATTTGACCCTTTAGCCTTTATGATTTTGATTCAAAACATATATTCAGAGTGTAATAACTACTAAAGGAGTGCTTGGATAAATTTGAGGACCACCAAATTTAAATATGTTCATAATAATCGAATGATGAATAATGTAGAAATTTTTAAAAATTTCCTCCGTAAACCTAAAGATATAACAACTCAGTAATATACAGTGGTATTATACATGGATATCTACACCTTCATCATTCCAGATACGTAGGGGATACCAGTCGGCTTAATCCAATCATCGCCCTGAAGGAAAACTCCGACAGTGAACTGTTTGGCAACCTGGGGAGAAATGTTCTTCTTGTAGCCCTTCCAGTTCACCCTTCCTGATGTTTTCGCTCCTGCCCCGCGGTTTTGATACTCTGCATACCAGCAAGTGTCCAGCCCGAAGTCACCCATCCATGGCGACCACCCCGCTGGGTCAATGAATCCGTCGATGTTCGACTGCATTATGACGGTCCTCGAGAACTCCTTCCATGGTCGTCCCAAGAACACTTGGACCGCTGGTTTCACGGCTTTCAGTGCCGGGTCCGGTAGGATTTGGCAGTTCTGGAGAACCAGCCCGCCGACTCCCCTGTGGTCCTTTCGGCCTTGGGCAGTCACCATGCAGGCTTGGTTCTCCAGAGGCTTCCTCACCACCATCTTGCAGTTCTGCAGGACGGCGGCTGCGTCGCCGAAGATGAAGTCGATGGTCCCGGTGATTGTGCAGTCCCGGTAGTATTGGCGGTAGGAGTGGGTGTAGAGGGTGTCTTGGTAGCCGTCCATGTGGCAGTTGTGGAACACGGCCATGTCCGCTGACACCCGGAGAGCCACTGCCTGGTGCTTTTCCGGACCGGCCGTGTTCTCAAATCCGATGTCGCGTGCTATGAAGTTGTCGCCTTGGATCGCGACGGTTGCGGTCTTGTAGGTACCGGTCCCGTCGACGTAGTTCTTGTTTCCGGTGATCCTCGTCTTTGTGGGACCCTCTCCGAGGAAAACGATCTTGTTCATCTTCCTAGGTACGAGAACATACTCCTTGTACACGCCGGCTTTAATGAAGATGACGACGGTGCGGTTGTTCTTAGGCGGGATTGATTTCAAGGCGTCATTGATGGTTTTGAACTTCCCGGAGCCATCCTTGGCGACGACGATGTCGTGCTTTATGGATTTCGGGCCGGCGGCGAGGAGTCGTCGGGAGGCGGCGTCAAGAAACGTGGGGTAGTTGCCGTCACCAAGCTCCACCGCCGACTCGAGTAACCTCCGGTTGAATCCGGGGATTTCCAAGGTCTGGATGAGGTCGGTGAATTGGGTGATCATGGCAAGACCGTTGCTGCTGAGCTCGCCGGCGGTACGGAGGAGATGCTTCATTTTCTCGCCACTGTCGCCGGTGGTGTTCTCGAAGGCGTCAATGCAAGTCTGCTGGTGGGTGATGGCGCCGCTAAGCCAAACCTTGAGGTCGCTGGCGTATTCTTGGATCTTGGAGAGGTCGAAATCCTCAAGCTTATCGAAAGACCTCTTGAGATCATCAATGGAGTCTTCCAAAAGCTCCTTGCATGTTTCCAGAGCGCCGGAGGTTCTTGGGTCCTTGGCGGCGTCATTGAGGAGGGACGACTTGGAGATGGCGTCGGTGATGTTCTTCACCGTCACTTGGAATGCGATCTTGATGAGCTCTTTCGGGTCGCTGGTGTTTTTAGCGCCGGAGAGACTCTCCTCACAGGTCTTTTTGTAATCCGTCGGGGCGCAAATGGCTTTCACCGATTTGGTCGTAGTTGAAATCCCACCGGAGCCGGAGCCGGAGCCGCCGTCGGAGGACTTGCCTCCGCTGGTTTTGTGCATGGTGACCGTGGCAGCCACGACGCATGCCACCAGGAGAACGGAAGTGACGCCGGCGGCGACGAGTTTTTTCTTATTTCCGGCATCACCGGACCCCATTTTTTTTTGTTTTTTAATATTTTTTTTTTTATATTACAACTCTTGGATGGGGTCTTTTATTGGGATGCCTTTGACCCCCTTGTTGTTTATTTTTGGATGATGGTTGAATGGGAAGGAATGAAAGGCCTATTTATAAAGTTGAGATAAACAAACAAATAAACAATTTGAGGTTGAGAAATGATGCAACAAATAGATGGTGCTTAGTGTTTATAGGAATTTAAAGAGAACGCTCTCATCGGATGAATGAATGTGCATTAGGAAATGTAGATTGATTCATTGGTTTTCTATGGAAGCAGTAATTAAGGTTGAGAGTTCATTAATTAAACGCATTAAAAAAACGTAAGGGTGTTTGTAATTATTGTTGAGGGTTCCATCTCTTTACATTTGTGAATGACAAATATTAGTATATTTTTGTACATCGGAAAAGAATAATATAACGGTAACTTTACTCGTCAATTGATCCGCGCGTTGCACGGCAGAATTTGATAACATCGTAACTCATTTCATAAATACTACGTAGTACGTAATAAACTTTTTTTGTAAACCATATTTGCCATATGGTTTGGTAGTCCATTCTGAGTTTAGTGTTCAATCTAATGTCATTTCCTGTTTTGTTGTATATGTAATTTTATTATACTTAAAATCTATTCACAATTTTAATGAGAAATGTTATTGATCTTAAAATCTACTCACTAATCTGATAAGAAATGTTTAGTCCATATACCGTGCGCAAAAGTACTCAGGTCCATGTACCGAACCGGCCAAAGGACGAACCAAACTGATTTTTTGGTTTCTAGAATTTTCAAAACAGAAATTGTACCAATTATAACTGTGAACCAATTTTTATTTCAATTATAAAAGTTTACAAGGTTCACAACAATTACACGATACTGCATACAATTACCCTTACTACAATGTTGGGCACTAAACATTTCATTCTGCCTCTGTAAGATGCAATGCTGACCTCTAATGAGTATGAGCTATGAGGTTGCAAAGCACCATCAGAAATAACCAGAACAACCGCCATCCTAGTTGCCAATTGATATAACAACTACAACAACAACACACAGGTAGACCGTGATGAACCAAAATCAAACCATGTATGTCTTCCCAACTTGGATAATGTTCATGTGAGGGACCCGCAATGTCGCTGCCCCACCTCTGCAGTTGCTCCTCATAAATGAGTAAAAATAATTGATTGCTAGTTTCTTGATGAACCAAGAGCTTTTCTTGGCCCTCACATCCGCATGCCCGAGCAGGTAGGTAAATCCCGATTCGGTGGCTTCCCGTAGAGCCGACAGCTCGTACTCCAACCCAGGATCTTCTTCTCCTGACATCACACTAGCCGGCAATAGAGGGTTCCCTGTTCCTTCCCATCTATTATGATGATCCTGCATCATCAATGGAACCCTGAGATCCTCCATCCCGTTGTTGTCTTCTACAGAAGACTCGGTCTCCCTTGACTTCACTGACACGTCATCAGTCTGGTTTGTTAGACTGACAGTCTCGAGGGCAAGCTCTTGGGCCTCTTTCCTCAAAAACTTCTCAAGGCTATCCAGCAGAAGTTGCTCAAACGCTTGATGGTTTTCTTTCCTGACGTCTTTGTAACCGTACCTGTTCGAAATCGAATGTTTATTACAGTTGTGTCTGCAACTTTCACTTCTTGAAGATTTCTGGAGTAAGTTAGACTAAATTAATACTTCCTCTGTCCCATTTTACTTGTCCTACTTTCCTTTTTGGGTTGTCCCAAAATAAGTGTCGTCTTTCCTTTTTTAGAAAGAAATATGTGGTTTACATCATTTACTTTATTATAGCCAAACCTCAACCACAACTTTTACTTTTTCAACTACTTTATTAATAATCGTGACAAGTTAAAGTGAGACACATAAAATGGGACGGAGGTAGTGTAGTACCACGTATTAAAGTCTACCCCAGTTTCATCGTACTCAAAAGCCAGACTCACTATCTTTTGACTTGGGAATATGATGTAATACAGCAAGATGACTCACTAAATTGTTTGCGCTTTTTTATTATATAGTGTCAGTCAGTCTATGCAATTTTCAATGCAATTTTCAACGCAATTTTCATCATGGGTCATCCAAAATATGCTTTAGTACATGGGTAAGATTGTGTACAGTAGTTGGGAGCTTTTGCGGCACTGAGGTAATGTTGTTGTATTTAAGTCTGGCCCAATTGTGTTTCATTTGCGTGCTTAGTACATATGGTTTAAGGTTGGTTTGCACATTCATCAACCCTCCCATTGTCTAACTAGGTTTGGGCTTGAAGTGTTTGTCGTACATAGGTATGTTGACACAACTAGCGGAAAAGATACTTTTATGAACTTTTTTGTAACTACTAGCTTTTAATGATTGAAAAGATCTTAGAAAGAAAAGGTGGTAACCATTCGGTAAAAAAATGATTGTTTGATTTAATTTTGTTTGGTATACAAGTTGCTGGGACTAATTAATGCTAAAGCTACAGACTTTTCTCAGATGTTACTCCAAATAGCATCTCCAAATAGCATCTCAAAAAAGATCTTTATTTTTAGAAAAGCTCTTGAAAAATTTCATGTCAAACATACAACCAGAAGCTTTTAAAGACTTTTTAAATAGTACAAAACTAGAAGGTAGAGACGTATGCTTAGCAAACATGCACATAAGCTAGATATAAAATAATAAAACAATATATAAGATTGTGGGTAGCTCCTGCTATTAAGTTTATCTTTTAGGGTTGAACACTTGAACCTCAAATATTTAAACTCGGAATACCTGGCAACACAGCGGAACATATGATAGTCATTGGGGCCCACTCTTCGGAACAAGAACCGCTCTTCCTGAGGAACAACAGGCACAGGCACATATTTTATGCAAACAAAGACTAGGATCGAGTGAATGGCTGGAAGGTCGAGAAGAAACTGGATGAAAACTGAGGGAATGCCCTGGACGAGCTCATTGTAGAGTAATCCTATGCCCGGGACCCTTACAGTTCCAAGTGTGGAGCCCAGATCGTACAAGAAATCCATTGAGATCTTCTGCTTGACCTCAACCTGGTACTTCAACACGCTTCCATAGTTCCACACATACATCATAGAGAGGAACAAGGTAGCAAATACAAGTGGAAGCCAGCCACCTTCCAAGATTTTTGATAGGACAGCAGACAAATACAAAAGCTCTATTGAGCCAAATACCAGAGGGAAGCATAAAGCTAGGTATAAATTTGTTCTCCATATCAAAAGCATCACAAGTGTGACCATGATGGTGCTAACCAACATGACGCCAACTTCAGCTATACCTGCAACAAAGACGCTAGGGTGCTAATGTGCTATATAATATATCTTCACTCGTACGAAGCGTGGCAATTGGGTTGGATCACATGTTAGAAACAGATTGACCCAGTTTGACCAATAAATATATTTAAAACGCTTACATTTTGATCATAGAAAATGCTATAGAAAGTGGGGGACTTAGGTAAGTTATTCTTTTCCATTTAGCTTTATCATATAAAATGCAAAACAAAATAAAAAATGATATATATTTTACAACTTGTTTCCTTAGATTTCTTACACTTTATATAGTAGAAATAAGTACATAAAATGAGCCTATTTCAAATATTTAAAATAATTTTATTGAGTTTGAGCCAATCTTTTATTTTTCTCAACTTTTTCTTTCCTTCAAATTTCTTTCTAGTTTTCCTTCTCTAGTATTCTCCGAGTTCCAAACGGACCCTAAGAATCAGAACCATATCTATGGATGATGTTTGGGAAGTTATTTCCCAAGTTCTAAGGGCTCAAACCAACAATATAAGGTCCAAGCAATGAACATGGGGATGGGATTGAAGGTGTCAAAATTGTCTATTCATTCCATAAAAGTTTTTGTGACGAAACATCAATGGACAAGAAAGTCAAGCAACTCCAGGAAAGATTTAGAGATTTACCGTATGCATTCGCTATGCTTGTTGTGCTTCTAAAAGCAGCTACTACAGCCATGCACATGATCATCAAAAACCAATTAACTACAGGAATATAAATCTGACCCATGTGCCTCTTTGAGGTGTGTACGACCTTCAGTCGTGGGAAGCATCCAAGAGCCATGGCTTGCTTAACACATGAAAATGAAGCAGATATCATGGCCTGGCTAGCAATGATAGCAGCAACTGTGGCTATCACAAAAATTGGCCAGAAAAGCCCATCTGTTTGTTCATGATGATCCCAACTGTCAAATGAAGCACATATAGATTCAAACAACAAAAAATATTGTTTCCCAATAGGAGCAGTGGAAAATTACCAGGCACAGAGGAATAGAATATTGTGCTGGCGGAATTAGGATGTTTCATGAGATATGCAGCTTGGCCAAAGTATGCTAAGAGAAGGCAGGGGAAGACCGCGCCAGTAAAGGCAATCTGCAGTGATCAAGGTACATAAAAATAAGGGAAATTTGGTATTTTGACCCCATGTTTAACTCCATATCTGATTTTGCACCCCGTGTTTTAGTTTTTTTGACTTTGCATCCCGAGTTGGATAAGAAGTCAAATGTTAAGGTAACTATGGATGCAAAGTCTAACAAATAGAATTGGTATTTGCACCCCCTGTTTAACGGAGTATTTGACTTTTCTCCCCATTTGGGATGGAAACTAACAAATATTGGGGTAAACGTGGGGTGCAAATAGCAGATTCCCCTAAGCATAAAACATGATAGCAGTGAGCCACTGATGGAGGATCTTGTTGAAAGGAAAGTGGTTGAAACGGGAGCCAATGGTTAAAAGAGAGTCACCTGTATAGACCTCACAGAGAAATGACCTAAATCAGCAAACATTGCTTCAGCTCCTGCACCTCAAAACAAGACAGCATATTAGTAGCTTATACATATCAGCTTGAGCAACATATTTTGTTACTATTAAAATTTAAATATGAATTTCATTTCTGCGCCATTCAGCCGATTATTCATTAGCTCAGGAAGTGTATCACAGAAAAACATCATACTCAAGATCTATAGCAAACATTTTGCCAATACAGAACTAGATCTCCATATTAAGAGAACATTACTGCTAAAAAAGAGAAAAGGGGCAAATAAGCCCTCGAACTATTTGCAATTCTGCAATTAGGCCCCTGAACTTGAAGAATTGCAGATATACCCCCCTCAACTCGTTGAAAATGATGCAATCAGGTCCTTTTTACCTGCTGGTGCCGGTAATATTTCATCTTCTTACCCCCCACCAACAGGTAAAAAGGATCTGATTGCATCATTTTCAATGAGTTGAGGGGTGTATTTGCAATTCTTCAAGTTCAGGGGTCTGATTGCAGAATTGCAAATAGTTGGAGGGCTTATTTGCCTCTTTTCTCGCTAAAAAATCATAAAAATACAATATAAATCTAGAAAGCGCATCTCTACTTTTATTTTTATTACTACGTAATAAAAATAAAGACTTGAGCATACAAGGCTAATACCAGTGATGCATAAAACACAGCCACCGAGAGCTGACCATGCCTGGGTGGAATTCTTGGAGAAGAAAAGATAGATATAAGCCGGATTCAATGCCCTTACCACAGAAACATCATACTTAAACAGGTTGTACATTCCAATAGATCCCAAACTTATGAACCAGATTGCTAGGGCAGGAGCGAATGTGAAGCCCACTTTACTTGACCCTAACCGCTGTATGCTGAATAATGCACCAAGGATGACCACTGAAGTAATAACAAGAGCATCTGCAGGTGAAATATATCACTTTAATTTTCTGTAAACTGAAACACAAAAATACCTCACTCCCCCCCCCCCCCAAAAGCCCAAACTTACCCTTAGTGACAGTAAAGACAGAGTAGGCGTCGCGACTGTAAATATGAGCCATACAGGACTGAGTATTATACATTTGTAATATGCGAATAGTATCAAAATGTGTGCTTTAATGTCCCATCCATACATATCCTGTGGATGGGCTATCACTATCAGCACTTCAATTTGCTGGTTTCCTATTCACTGACAAAAAGATCCTTTTTCACGTTAAACTGGCAATTGAATGATTTAAAGTTATTACTCCCTCCCACCTTTAAAACGTTTCTTTGGTCCCAAAGAAATGGTCCTGTTTCATCACACGAAACTAGCTTTCCATGTGATTACATGATTAAAAGATTGTGCCTTCACCAAACAAAACTATTTATTGGTATGACCGTATGAGGGAATAATATATTTACTTTGACTCAAGAAAAGAGATCTATAAAGAGTACTCACTACTCAGGATTACTTACTTGTTCCGAACCAAGATATCTTACCCTCTAGACCACTCACAGCGGACACCACTGCAACAGAAAACTATTGCTTAGAAAATAATTTTAGAATATAGTGGGGGTAAACCCACCACAATAAAACAAATGATGTGTGAAACAAAACAAACTGTTGTCCGTTAAGGACTTCTTTGGTTCTGGGTCTTCAGAGGGAATGGAAGGGGAGGATAACTTAAAAAATAATAAAAATCTACATTTAGCTTGTAGGAAATAAAGTGATTATAAAAAATAATATACAAATATGTGATGTAACTAATCATATACGGAGTAATTATTACTAGTTTAAAACTATTAAATAGAGATAAACTGATAATATAAAATCAACTATCCTCTTCCTTTCCTTCCGAAATTCCTAACCAAATGAGCCCTAAAAATAGTAATACCTGACATTGCTGGCGTCAAGATGCCATCCCCTATGATCATTGATGTTCCCATGAGAACCAAAAGCAAGAGCATGGTCTTCAAACTGGATTTACGTTCCAGTAAGTCTTTTATATGTAAAGCCCTTTGTAGTTCTGGTGTGGGAATTTTGAGCTTAAAACTGGAGATATACTCATCAGCTGGCTGGCGATTTGGGAGAAGGCTAACATTTGCATACCTGCAGATCAACGAATACAGAGCAAATGTTCCTCCTGCCATCATCAGATTCATTACATGGGTAATCAAAACCATTTTTCCCGGACATATAGCATGTGGCTTATCAATAAAAAAATAGTGCATGCTTGAAGTGTGATGAAGAATTTGCCCCACATCTGATAAATATGAAGTAACAAACCCGTACATAAGTTTTGGACTATTACTCCTATTACATTGACCTTATGTACGAAGCCACAAGTTTAATACACTGTCAAACCTGATCTTCCTTGTGAAAAATGAAAATGATCTAGACGAGGTGTCGAACCTAAAGGGTATGCGCGCTTATGAAAAGCCATGTGGAGTTTGTATGATGACAAAGAAAAATCAATAATTGCACGAATGTATCAAGCATAAATCTTTATAAAGTAAAATACTCACATACCTTCTCCATTGTCATTGGCCTTCAATACAATGAACACATACTTCATGAGAGGAATGAGAGCGATTGTATATATCACTATCGACAATGCCCCCAAGATATCAATTTCTGAATCTATGGTCACCTTACTGAATACATCAGCAAAAACATACAAAGGGCTGGTTCCCACATCACCATACACTACACCAAGTGTTTGAAATGCTAGAGAAAGAGTCGCCAAGAGTGGAAGATCCTGGTTAATTCAAGTAATAAATTTTGTAAATAGTTAATTACTTACATAACACTTCAAAAGACTTAGTGAAGCATCTTATTCAAGCAGCTTAGTTATTAGCTTTTTTAAAGCAACAAAATCAAATAAGTTGTGTTTGGTTGGCAAATTTATTTCATATGCTGCTTTTTCAAATTGCATGACTTTTCAAATGCACTCATTTTTTATTTTCAAATTAATGTAAACACGTTCTTTAATACCATTTTTATATTTCAAAGATACATCCCTGAGCTAATACTAGCCAAATACTGTGAGCTAGTATTAATCATATTACAAAGGGAAAATACTTTAAAAATACCAATTTCATACCCCACCTTTTAAATATATAGCAAAAGTGATATGGAATCACTTTAATTCTTTCAGACTACAAATCCGGGCACTTAATCTGTCAAATAATAGTAGCAAACCATCAAACAAGCTTTGTTTACTGACTCATCGCCCATTCTTTATTGTTTGACTCACTGGTTTTGTAGTAAAAAAAGTAGTTATGTATCAATTCTGTTATAGATAAATGAGGGGTGTTTGGATCTGAATCTTAAAACTGCTTCTACTCCTTCAGGGAGAAGAAGCAGAAGATGTAGTGTTTGGGTGAAAGTGCAGAACTGGTTCTGGTGCTCTAATTTGCTCCTAGAATCATTTTTTTAGAAGCTGGGGTGAACAGCTTCTGAAAACTGATTCATATTCTGCTTCTACTTTGAAAAATAAGAAGAAGCAGAATTAGTTCCAAAACACCCCTAAGTATTAAAACAGTCGAGATATGAAATGATTAAGCCTTGTCCTATCAATTAAAGCTACTTTATTCGGTTATTAATTATTAGCAGCTTCTATTGCCAAACAACCCTTAAGTGGAAGCATTCCATTATTAGAGTGTTAAAGGCTTACTGTGAAAGAAACAGCAAAAACGGACGAAACAAACAATTCTATCATGGAGTTCTGAAACGGGAAACACTCAAAGATTGGATTTTGGATTTCTTTTACCTTGTTATGGGCGGTATGACCACCCCCAGCAATCTCCAAGGCTTCAACGTCAAAGGAATTGACTCTCTTGGGCTTCTTGGCAAGCCTCCTCCTAATAGATCCATACCCTTCTCGGATCTCATCGTCTCCATGTATTGACCATGGAGTTGACTCCGAGTCCACCTCGCTTCCATCCACCCACCTCCTTGACTCCCCGGTGCTGCTACCTCCAGTACCAGTCCTCCTCAGTAGACCCACCACCACACTCTCTTCTATTTCTCCCGTTTCAGTCATTCCACCCGTCAAGGATTACTGGGTTTCTACCATTATCATCCTAAGTGAATGTATATAGCACGTACAACTGGGATGAATAGAGCCATATTTATGACCAAACGAGTATCAAAAGGCTCGAAGAAGTGTTGGGTAAACTATTGTTTTTTACCTTCCACGTTTTTTTGGACCAAACGGTCGAGTCGAAGACTGGGAGACTGAGAAATAATTGTGTCGCTCTGAGTAATGACAAAGCAATGGGACCAACCCGATCCCGAATGGCCAAGTTTCGCAGTAAACCTTTTTTTTTTTGAAGGACGCAGTAAACCTTTTTAAAAAATGTTTAAAAGGTATAAATAATGGCCGAAGTATTATTTGTGGAGCCCGTTTGGTACCATTAAAATTGGCTGAAATGATTAATTCTGCTTGAAATTTATGAAGTTTTGGATGAAGTGGCTGTATTTGCTGATGCTGCTGATTCATGAAAAAATTATATTTAAAATATTTGTTATTAATAAATTAAATAAAATATTATATGAAAAATAGTTAAAATGATCTTCTACAGTAACTTCAGTCAATACAGCCAGAAAAGTAACTCTAACTTTACTTTTTCTGCTTATTACAAAATTCAGCGCGTAAAATCAAAAGTTACATATTTGGTAAAAAAGCTGGTTGATAATCTTGATAAGCCGTAAAAATGGGTCACCAAACGGGCTCCTAATCTTCTAGTTTTTGAATGGACAAAAATATGATTAATTCTGGGATCAGGTCATCAAGTCATGAATAATACGTGGTACTAACTAAATGGATTTGGACAAATATAGAACCTCTTTTAGTATCAACAAAAAAAATGAGACCTTGTGTTGATTTCTTACCGTTTCAAATTCCAATCGCCAAAAAAAAGCTACTCCGTATATAGGCAAAGTTAAAAAAATGTACTTTGTATGACTTCATTAGTTTGTAACTTTGTACTCTGTTACAATTACTCGATTGATTTACAGTTACGACCAATTGCAGTTACACGCCCAATTAATTACAGTTATTTGTATGATCAGTTACAGTTACTCGTTCGACCAGTTACAGTCTCTGTTCTAAAAATCGTTCTAGGCGCCCGACTAGTCCCCGCCTAGGCGCTAGGCGGTGGTCAGGCGCCCCAATTTTCGTCTAGGCGCTCCGAGTAATTGGTTTGCCGTCTAGGTGAATTAGTCGGCCGCCTATGGCGCCTAGTTGCGCACCTAGAACGCCTAATCGGCCGACTAGGCCGTCTAGATTCGCCGAACATTACTTCACTTTTTCATTTTAATTTTCTAAGCGATATACATACTTTAACTTTAGCCATGGATATAAAGAAATGACATTGTAAATTAAAATAAAACTATATAGTTTGTATATATACCTAAATTTTATCATTATTTATATTTATAACAGAATGAAGTTAAGTGATTAGTTATCATATACTACGTATGATCAAATGTGATAATTCTGTCAGTCATGTTTGTTAATGTATATGTATATATGTATTTTATACACACAAAAATACAATATTACTTATCATATTTATGCAAAAATATAGATATAAATGCAATTTCCATGTTTTCGACTAATCCCCGCCTAGGCGCCCGCCTAGGCGCCTAGGCGCTAGGTGTTGGGCTAGCGCCCGACTAGCGCCTTTAAGAACATTGGTTACAGTTATTCGTCTGATCAGTTACAATTACCTGCTCAACAAGTTACATTTACTCACACAACCAGTTACAATTATTCACTCGACCAGTTACAATTACTCATTCGATCAATTACAATTACCTGCCGACAATTACCATTATCTGACCCGCTCAGTTATAATAAATCGACACATCCATTTACAATTACTCGACTCATCCAATTACAGTTACCCGACCCGTCCAGTTATAGTTATCCGGCTCGTCCAGTTACATTTACTTGACCCGTCCAGTTACAGTTAATTAACCCGTCCAGTTGCAGTTATCTGATCTATTCGGTTACAGTTACCCGACTCGTCTACCTATAATTACCTGGATATATCAATTACAGTTACCCAATCAGCCCTAGCTGCCACCGCCGGTGACCATTGATGACCACCACTCCCGGCCACCGCCGGCAACGCCAGCTGCCACCGCCTCCGACCAACGCCCCACCCCGACTCAACTCCTCAGCCCCTCCCGCGGCCCCAATCCTTGCACAATCGCACTCACCACCACACCACACCCTACATCGCTATTCGCGTCATTTGACTCCACTGGTAGCCTAAGCCCCCGACCAGCCCGCATGCCCATCACACTCCACCGCCATCCCCGCCCCATCACCACCCCACAAATCTGGCGACTCCATCAGCCCTGCAACAATTCCAGTGTCCAACACAACCGCCATCTCTAGCCATCAGCTCACAACCTCGTTCCTGCCCAGTTGTCACTGCCCCACCATTGCGACATGCGGCCGCCACTACCCCGCCCTTTACCCTATACACCGTCGCATATCCAAACCCGCTGATTCAAATTCCAGATCTAAATCTGATGATCGGAGATGTTCCTTCGGTGATGAAGTCGCCCGTACGAAGACAAAGACAACTGTGGTCGACATCTCCGTCTAACACTAGTGGAAAAAAGACTTTTAATGTCGGGTAAAATAAGCTTTTAATGTCGGTTCCAGAACTGACATTGTTCCCGTAGTTATAGAATGTGGGCACTTTTTAACGTCGGGTGTCAGACCCGTTATTGTATATCTTTTATATCGGTCATAAACCTAACCGTTATCAAAAGGTCGATATTGATTGCAGGAGATTTAGTGTCAGTTAAGTTAACAACCGATATTGAATATCATATTTTAAAAAAAAAATAATAATACTGCGGGTTAAATAAATATCAACGACAAACTTATCACAAATTAAAGCACTCTTTGAACGGAAATTTGCGAACTACGGATTAAGAAATCCAAGACATTATAATTCAGTGTCACACAACCTAATAGATAAAACTATAAAATCTACTATGGCCTATTTCTATAAAAAAACATTTTAAATCGAATTGCCATGACCTAGAAATACATAATTAAAAATATATGCTCCATGTCAATAAGTCTATAGAATCCACAAGTATGATCTGCTACTCTGTGAGACCTTGTTTCTTCATGAATGTTTCACAACATGCATAGAAGCCACTGTTATCAACATATATTTAAATTAAAAGATCTTTTGCTCCATAACCGAAACTTTGCCATTTCATAAGCCTGTAAGGTCAAAGTCAATTGGTTAGAGAAGTATAAAAAACATCACATTAGAGCACAAAAAGGTCACATCTTACTAAGCCAAACAAACATATTGTGAATATCATTAACAGTCCCACTTAGAAGTAAAGAACTTAACATGCACTAACACGCAAAATCCAGGAACATGAAAGCTAAATGGAAGAGGAAGAAGAAAAAGAACATAACAGCCAAATGAAGAAAAACAAACAAAAGCAGTAACATATACTAGTACAAATTTTTTATAAAATGGAAATAAAATAATACTAGTATAAGTTTTTGTTGTTGCGGTTCCTTAGCACCCTCAGCATTCAGCAATAACAATATTTTTGTTATAATATCATGCGTGCTACCCCACTATCATCCTATTTACCTGTAACAGAGACCAGAAGCTTCAAACAAACTCTTTCACCAGATTTACCTACACAATACACAGCATGTGAGAGAACATTTTAGACAAGTTCCTTTGGTAATAGATATAACTAAATGATGATCATCATCCATGATTTGGAATTAAAATAACTCAAGAAAATGGATTGTATCCCATACAACCGAAACAACATCTACTAAAAATGCATAAAATCTTAAAAACTTTTTTATTCTGCAGAATAGTAAGAAAATCTTATAATTACTTAATCATGCCTCAACTATTAGGAAGTATTATGCAAGTACAAATTGAGAAGAAGGTAGATTAAAACTTAGCAGAAACACACTCTATAACCTAAAAATTGTCATTTAGTAACCAAGTCACATAATAACTGCCGTGTGAATCTCTGAACCCTAAAATGTGAATTGAAAACAATAAAGATAATCCTAACAGTAAATAAATCATAAGGCCACAATGATTTTTACGCTATAGAGAAAACAAAATGATGCCTAACATGGGAAAATAGAAGCTGCAACAAGCAAGGATGCATCTTCAGATTCTTTCATAATAAGTGGCTCAAGTATCCTCCAAGACAATAATATAATAATCTCTACTCCAGTTCTTTTATTTTAGTTCTGTGTATATATTCCACGAACCATTTGCGGCCTTCATCCATGCCCATGTTACACTGTAGATCATACAAGATTGAGAACCATCAAATAAACAAAAAGTTGTGGAGACTAAAAAATAATTTACCTCAATATATCCCTCTAAGCTTTTAGAACAGGAAGGAAGACGTTTAATAATGTCAAAAAGCAATCACCAGTATGTTCATAACCAGTTCTTAAAACATACCTAAAAAGTAAAATGACAATGAAATATATTAGTTTATTACATGTAATTACATATAACACTATATAAATCATAGTGGCAGACTGCTTACCGTACGGTAAGTAAGAACACACAAATCCAATTCCTTTTTAAGAATAAGATTTCTCATTTGGACATTCTTACAAACACATTGAATACATCACAAACATATAGCTTCCTAAACCCAATTGCGGTGCTCTTTCTCGTAAATTAAAGATGTCAAACAAACATTAAACAATATTTATATAAGAACTGGATCCGTAACAAGTAAAATACCTAGTTAAAACATATAATGCAAAGCGGGATACTTTTACTCAAATAGCTAGATATGGAGGAAAAACGGTCATTGCCTGTGAAGGGAGGGGTAGAAGATGGAAGATGAGTCGCTCGTAACATGAGAACAGTGTCCGATGTCACCTGGATCGCGCTCTCCTCTGCTTTGCTGCCTGACAAACGGTCAATTGGAGCTCCATCTCCCGTCAGATGTTCTCCCTTCCGGATGTCGACTCCAGTCATTGAAACGGCAGTGGAAACCAGCGAGCGGGAACATCTCTTGCTCCGTCCAAGTGTCCAACTTGCCAATCCACTACAGCGTGTAAATCGTCTCCCTGAGTACGAATCGGGTGTTCTCCTGACCCGCCAGAGATCTCCTTTTCTGATTCGATGAAGGGACCACCGATCGGGCTGCCCCTCTT